TCCTGTTTTCCACAGCAGCAGGAGAGCAAAGGGAGAAAACACAGCTGCTTGGCTGCTCCACGCAAGAAGGACCATCTGTGGCTGTCCTTTGTGCTCGCTGCTTTATCTGTTCATTACAGTGTGAAGCCGAGTTCCTCGTGCCTGGAGTTTCAATGAGATGAGATGTGCCTAAATACAGCCAGGGCCCAAGACGCAGTGACGGAGCCTGCGAAAGATGAATAGCACAATCTGTAAATTAATTTTCGGCTTGTTTCATCATATTTGAATGAGCCTAGGGCAGGCTTGTTCTTCAAACCATACAAGTTGTTTAAATAAAATAATAAATAAAAAATAAACCCCAGCTGCACCAAGAGGGGCACGGTGTGCCCTCGGTGTTCATTTGTCTTGGGTCGTGTGCAGTTAGGGCAAACTTTTGCCCCACCCCACGCAAACGGTGCTCTGGAAAGGCTCAGACTCTCCTGCCAGTCTTCCGTGGCAAGGGCAGCCTTTTGCCCCAGTCTCTGTTTATTCCATTTTCAGTCCTTGGGAAAAAGAGCAGCGGCAGCATCAAAATGCAAACTGGGGCAGAATGCCAGGTTTCAGTGGGAGACGGTGGCACGATTCTCCCCACTACACGCTGCTTTCAGGTTTTGTTGCAATGCTCCTTAAGACCTCTGATTACCTTTAAGAGTTTATACTAGTTACACTCCGGCAGGAGTCAGCAATTTGGGCACCCCCCAAGTTGTGCATCTCAGCAGCAAGCTCGCTGCCAGCACCTGGTGCCTCCTGGCCCTGCTGCTATTTCTCATTGCCGCTGCTGTTCTTGTTGCCGTATGTTGGCATGGCTTCTCCCAGCCTGCTCCTTCCCTTGCCATGCCTCTCTGGACAGCTCTGCAGGTTAGGTCAATGGTCTGTGCCAGTAGCAGCAGCAGCGAGAGAAGAGGGGCACTCAGAGGACATCTTGTCTGTCCCCCCAAAAGAACCCGAAGCTAACACTGATGCCAGCGTTGTCGACACAGAATAGCTGTACACTCCATTTCAAAATGTGATTTATGGCTTTGGACCATTTCATGTCCTTGGAGGAATAATCCCGCGGACTGAAATGGGAGGCAATCTTCTCTGTGCTCTTTCTGCAGAGGAGGAAAGACAAACCCATCCACAAGGATTCTGAATGATGCTGCTTTCTTTGTAGCACCAGCCCAGCTTAGCAATGTCCTCCTTGGAGAAGCTGACCTTATCTGGTCTTTGTAAAGCTTTAGGTAGTTGGCGAAAGTCTACCAGTTGTTTCGGCTTTTGGAGATGTGTAATATTTCTGCTTTTAAGCTAAGCTTTTCTTCAAATATTGGCTGCTTATATTTTGTGATTCCTGTGCTTTGCACATTGCTTCCAGTTCTTGAGGTACTGGGGAGATTTCTGATTTTTTAAAACAAGAATATGGGGCATGAAGCCACCTTTGCAGATAATAAAATGGGAGAGAGGCAGACCTTATGACACTTGGAACAGGAGAACTTTCTATCTTGAGTAAGCATATGCCTTTTAGGTTTTTTCCCCCAATCTGGTGCGTTACAATATTGCAGGCCAGCCCTGCAAACAAATGCTCAAATGACTGAGAGGAGAAAAGCATAATTCTGTCGTTTGATGAGGCACGTAATAGTAATGCTCAATTTTGTTTCCTTGCCTGAAATTCTCCCTTTAAAAGAGAAATAGCTCTCATCTTCTCCTGAAAGGCGAACCGTACCCTGATGTTTTGCATTTCATTATTTACATTGTGTACAGACAGGATATCTAATTTCATGGGTACTTTACGATCCCGTTGCCAAAAGTGACGTCACCTTGTTTATCCTGGCAAAAGGGGTGGAGGGAACTTTCCTTCCTCAACCAGCCCTTACTCTGCTATTGCCTCTTCTCCCGCCTTGTCCCCATTCTGCCCAAAGTGGGTTGCTGGCATTCATTTGCAGATTCGTGGCTCGGAATCATTAGATAGCTTCCTCCTTTTATCTTGGTTTGTTAGGACCATTCCATGCTTATATCGGAGCGGCGCCCTCCACGCATCAAAGCTGCACTTGAGATGGATGGCTTCCTTTTGACACAAACTAACGCCATTATGTTGTGGAGGTGCCCAGCATCCACTATTCTTCCAGCACTGGCTGCATTTACAATTTGCCAGAACCCTTTGTTCACCCCCCCCTTGCCCCCTCCCTCGGAACTCAAGTGGTCATCATGCAACGTGAGGTAGAGATTGCAATCTCCAGGCAACATAAGGGAGAGGCGAGGGAGGAGGGGAGGGAGGGAGGGTGAGTCCCCTTTGTTGGCAGCACATTAGAAATGACAAGCCAGGAATAAAAGGTGAGCCCAATTTGATCAAACACATGTTGACAGATTCCTTAGGTAATGGAGCGGCAGCTCACGGTAGCATTCTGTGCTTGCGGTGCATTATCCCCAGAGTGTAATGGGAATGCTGCCTTGAAGGGATAAATCTTCACACGCTCACGGAGATCATATTGGTCGGCTCCTGCAGGATCATTTGCTCTCCTTAGTAGAGAAATGCTTTAAAAATGGTTCCAAGCGAGCATCCCTCGCTGATTGTGCCATACTGAAACTGCAGTGCTGCTACCCAGTTCTTAAATAGGGACTGGCGACCGGAGTCCCATGGGCCACACCTTATGAGCAGCAGGGCCCCATCTCTGAGTTCCCGACCAAGACAGAAATTAGGATTGCAGAGAAGTGGTGGCTGTAGCAACAGGAGAGATTTTTTTGGTTTGCTTGGAGGGGGAGGCATTCAAGGCTGCCCCGATTCTCCTGCCTGACTCCTTGGTCAGAGTTGCCTGCCGGGAGCCCTGCTAGGTTGAACCACAATGTTTGTGAGCGATCCAGACCTTGTGAAAAATGCCACCTTTGAGCTTCCCTCCTCTCCAGTGATGATGGGGCCAAAGAGGTGTCCAGCCCCACCAGTACTGTGCCTTGCCTGGCACGGTGACATGGTCCCAGGAATGAATCTGCTTGGCTCACTGCCTTCATGGCATCATCCTGCTGATCTCAGAATAGTGGCTACAGCATTGCCCACTGGAAACAGTGGCAGGGGAGTGAGCGAGAGGGTGTAATGGGGAAGAGGTCCCAAGATCTCGCTTTCTGGCCAGACGGGTCCGCTTTGGCATAACCCCAGTTGCTTGCTGTGGTGCTGAACTTGAAAATGGTTGGCTGGGTTCAAGTTTGCTTGGAAGCCTGACTCCTCAACCTTGTATACCAGACATTGCTTCCCGTCCTCCATAATCTTCAGAGGGGCAATGGGATAGATGCAGCTGTTCCTTTCTAAGGGGTATGCAGAGAGTTTGGAAGAGGCGAGGGGGCGCAGGGGGCTGCATGGAAGACGGGCACTGACCCAGTGTGTCCTGGAGGCTATTGTGGGTGAAGCTTTGAGTGGGGTCAGGGCAGCTTGGGAAGGGGGTGCCATAAATGGGAGTCCACTTTCAGTCTGCACCTCCCTTTCTCTGCCATTAATTGGATGGACTTTTTAGTGAGTTTAGTATAAACCTTCCCTATTAAAAGTCATTCCTGCTTTATCTTCCCTGGAGCAACAGGTGGGTGATGGATCACCATGGTTAAAACACGCTTAAGACCTAACAGAATTGTATGCTGTATTCACTTTCCTTCTTTTCTGGGGAGTAGTATAGTCCCGTTTCCTTTGATTTTGCCATCCTCTTCAAAATTCTTTTCAGAATACCCCCAGTTATTATTTACAGATTTTTAAAGGTCTAGTTCTGAATCCAATTCTTCACATGAGGCCTGGCTAGAAATGTGCATCATTGCATGATTTCCATCTTATGTGGATGACTTATGTGTCTACTCGCTTGCTATAACCCAAAATAATTTTTTAAACAGTTCAGGGTGCAGAACACATGACCTTCCAGATGTTGTTGGACTCCCTGACTCCCATGAAGTCCTGCTGGAATAGCCAGTGGTCCAGGATGATGGGAGTTTTCCAGGGTCATCAAGAAGGCCACCTGTTCCTCCTTGCACTTCGGGATCCTGTGGAGGCATTATAAGCATGGCTGTACATTCTACGTCTCTGTGCTGGGTTTCACTGCAAAAGGACAAATGCTCATTCAAAATAAGTTCCTAGGCCTCATGATACTGGGGGAAAGTTAAGAAATGTGTGGACTGTATTAAACTGGAGGAACTAGAGAGTAGCTGAACAAAGCACCAGGGATCAGCCCTAAGGCTTTATTCTTAAGCATAGTTGTATGTGTCTCAATCAGTGCAAGCTCGAACATACTACGTTTGGAAAATTCACAAAAATGGTGGTCAGAGTATGTGCCTTTTTCAAAAGTGCACCTTTTCCACTTTAGTTAATGGTGGGGAGGAAAGCACACTTCTGGAAAACAGGCACTGGAATGCCGGCTGTTCCCATCCAAACTGTGCCCTTTCCTCCTCTGAAGGAGTCCAGAATAGAGGGCAATGAAGTGGCAGTGAGGCAAACCCAGCTTGAAACTGGATGTCAGAGAATTCTGGCCAGCTTGGAAAAGACTGGCTCTTCCATCCCTGTTGCTCAACCTTCTGTTTTGCTCTGGTGGTGCTTACTCACTGTAATAGTCCAGTAGATTAGAAACAGTGTTTTTAAGCAGGGAAGCATGTTAAGAAGCGACTCGTGGTCTAGGAAGGCAACTTTGAGAAGCAGGTGGAAGAAGCAGCCTCCAGTCCTATCCAAATATCACCCGCCAACAAGACCTGTTCCTGCAGCCCCAGGTCCCTTCGCCCTCTCTCGCTTCAGGGCAGCTGGTAACATTCTGGGAACTGGATTTGGCTTGCTAGCCTCCAATTACAGACCTGTATCCTTTACGTACAGTGATTTGGAAGGTAGAATTAAGGCTCTTAGAGGCTGAATTTGCCTTTGTTTTCAAACAGCACATTCGATTGCTTGGGCGCTTGCCTCATATGGTACACACTCATTCTCTGTTTTTCCTATGTATGTGCGCACACAGCCGCTTCCTCCTCCAGTGACTTTTATTCTCTTTGGTTCCCAGCTCTGCTCTCATCGTGGTGTGAAGAGCTGGGCCGGCTCTTGCTGCTGCGGCACCAGAAAAGCCGGCAAAGTGACCCTCCGGGAAAGTTACCCATGCAGCCGCCGATGAACTCCATGAGCTCAATGAAACCCTCCCTTTCACACAGGTGAGCCCCACTCTGGCCCAGGCCTCAGCGGAACGCGGAGTAGTAGCTCCTCGGAGAAACAGTGCCCATCACTGGAATGGTTGTTGCTAGCCAGGGCTTTCCCTTCATGGAACACAGCTCTAGAAACCCTGGCGTCCTGGGAAGCTTAGCGGTAATTCTGTGATGTTTGTGCAGACACTGGCGTGGTTTCCAAAGGGTTATCCGTATAATTTCTGGTTAAATTGAAGTCACAGTCTTCTTGAAGCTCAGTTCCTCCTCTCTAGTTCAGATCTAGGAGAGATGAGTTGAATGCAAAGGTTACCTCCACACAAGGCACAGTTGTGGAAAGGAAAAGGTCGACGCAAGGGCTTGTGCTTTGTCGCTAGAGATGCTTCCTGCAGCACACGCCCCAAATTCTTCACCAGCTTGTATGGAAGCCCAAGCTGGGGCAGAATGGCTGGCTTTGGCCCTGCAGGGTTTCCTTCACACCCCTGGCTGATGCAGACTAGGGAAGGGAGCGACTGTGCTAGCTTGGAGAGGGGTGGGCCAGGAGGGCAGGCTGGGGGCTCACATTCTGCCTCACACTGGAAAAAATAGGCAGTTCTTGAGTTAGCCAAGGCAAGCTTCAGAGATCTCCACTTGTTGCCCTCTTTCCCACTCTCTGCCTCTTCTGCTTGCCTCCAGGGAAACAGAAGTTTGTTTTTTTTAAAAAAACCCTCTGCCTGGAGGGCTCTCCAGTCACACTTTCAGCTGAGGATGAGCTTGGCAGAGAGCAGAGCTGGGGGTGAGGTCGAAGGTGTGTGGGACAGATCTGTAGAGGAACCCTGTCAGTTTGGACCCTGCCCTGTGCTCCTGGCTGGCCAGAGAGTGAAGGATTCACCCCAACCGCAAGGAAGCACAAGTGGAGCCCTTGGCAGCCGGATGGCTTTTGCCCAGTGTTCGCTAACCCTTCGGCCTGCCTTGCTTGCACTCTGCCTGCCTCCCCCTGATTTCCTACTCCAGTTCCTTCCATCAAACTTCCACCACATATTCAACTCCTGACTTACTCCATAGGATCTTCTGCTTTGACTTGCCGATTAATATCCCCCGGGTACTTAACTCTATTATAAGATGGCCCAGTCATATGCAAAGTCAGGAATAGTTTATTCCCTTAGATATCACTTCCATATATCACACATTGCCACAGGGGTCCCTTGACCAAACACGCACAAATCAAAATAGAAGCTTTTCACTGAGGCCTGTTGTCCGTGGTCCTTACCCTCACAACTGCATTTGATTGATCAGAGTTTTGTCCCTTTTTCTGCTGTCTTCCTTTTCCCTCTCTGTTTACATTTGAGTTAATTAAGGAAAGAACAACCACAATGACAGAGCCTCCCCTGGGCATTTTTACAGCATGTTTTTATGTGCAGAAGTCCGGGGAAGACATAGATTTCCAGAGGGAAAACATGGGGTTCCTTCTTTGGCTGATAGCAGTCCTAAGAAAAGGAGCACCTGGTAAAGGACACAGAAGCGGGCAAGGAGGAGATTATGGGAATATAAAATATGATAAAAAGGCTGCAGATATGCATGGCAGGAGGATAGAAGGCCACAGGCTCGGTCAAGACAAAGTCATATTCCCGTGATCTATTAATCTAGGTATCATTTGTATAGAGAGTCCTCAGTACTGAAAACTGTACTGTTTGGTACTCTGAAAACAGTAGCTCATTGCAGCACCTTTCTGAAGTGATAGCCCTGTTACATGATGGACTATCTCAGCCCAATTCTGTGCATGTTCAAAAGTTTGCAAATACATCAGCAAACCCTTGTGCGCGCAAACCCTTCATCTGAGGTTGCAGCATTTCCACAAGAAACTCCGCTTTCCCCACGTGCTGAGCGTTTGTCCCAAGCTGAATACCTGCAAAGAGTCTACGCTGTGCAAAAGGTTCTCTTGCTGGTTGTGCCTGGGAAGGAGGTGTGGAAGGCTTCACCGCTGAGCACATGAGCATTGCTGAGGTGCCAGCCAGGCATAGTTTCGATCCGGGAGAGGAAGAGCTTTGCTAGCTGCTGGTGCACAAGCTGCTCACTGCCCGTGTAGCTGGTCACAGGGTTCGCTTTTTCCTGAATGAACTGCTTGCTTCACGGTGCTGCCCTTCCCACGTTCCGCCCACCCCACACACCCCGAGCACATGCGTAACGAGCAACCTCCCCCCCCCCTTTGCCCTGCTTGCTGACGCCACCCTGGTGCCTGCAAATCGGGCACATGGTGAAGGATCGGCCGTCCTTGCAAAATGCCATGCCTGTAGGGCCTGCCGTGCGCTCCAGGCTGGGCGGTGTTTGTGCTCATGCCAGGAGCTTGCCAGTGGCTAGTCCCACATCCACCTTCATGCGTTCTTATACACCTGCAGGGGCAACGGCATAAATGCAGGGTGCTTCTGAAAGGCATGCAGTGGAATTTCTCACAAAAATGCTATGCCAAGGAAGTGGCTTCCAAGATCTTAAGGGGACCGTGCCTAGTTCCAGAGCTGCTAAGATTCAGGTTAAATATACCATTGCAATAATTTCCAAGTATTTTATGGGCCTCTGCTAAAATACATGCCTAAAACCTGGAAGCAGCAGTTGAGAAGATGAAACTTCTAGTTCTCTCTTAAAATAATTTACTGGATGTACAAAGAAGTGTTGCTAGGTCCTGAGACTGGCTCAAAGGAAGAACCTTGCCAGCAAACTCAAAAGTAATTGAAAAAGTGGTTTATAGATCAAAGCAGAGAGCTGGAGAAGGGAAAGCAGACACGAAAACAGGTGTGCACATGCTGTTGTGGGTTTGTGTATTAATTTCACTAGGGGTGGCCAGTATTTTCTTTCTTTTACTTTTCAGCTGGATAGTAGATATTCCAAAGGGCGAAGGGGGAAAGTTTTGAATCTGTACTTAGCATTGGTGTGGCACACTGGAAGCATTCAGAGCAAGCCCTGTCACCCCACTTGTGAAAGGAACTCTGGGCATGTTGTGGGTTTGTGAGCAGAGGCAGCAGGGACCCCCCCCTCCCCCTCAAGCACGGTTCACACTCTTAGCCGCTGCACGGCACTGCCTCTTGCATTTTCTCTTGCTCTTCACCTGCAAGAGAAAAAGGAGAGTTGTCGAAAGAAGAGATGCTGGTATTATGGGGAAAACTCACTCTAGTTTGACATGTTTTAAAAAGTGTGGAATTAGTTGATTGCAAATAACGGCAGCTTAATTTTCTGGTGAAATCCAGGTTTTAATGTATAGATACTAGAGGCTGTTTTTCTATGCATGTCAAACTTGATCTTGGGTTAAACAGGAACAGTTCCTTTTGTAGTCGTTCAGGACTGTTCCTTGCCTGGGACATGAGTAAGGTGCTTGTTGCAGCTTGCAGAGCACCTGCTAATACTTCATACTGTCAGTAACCATGTCTGCAAACATCCAGTCGCTCTTTCCAGCATTTTCTCTCATCATAAGGCCTTTTTGGCCCCTTTTTATCTTCTATCATTCCCAATTCTGTCTTCAGTATTAATTAAATAGCAATTTTATTTAAGTCGGTGGTTGCATGAGAATAGTTTCTTAGAGCCATCAAAATTGATTAAAATAAAGAAATGAAGCTTTGAAAAAAGAAGTGATTTGATTCCAGAGGTTTCACAAAATTAAATAGAAGACCAAATTAACTACTAATTCAATTAGGTGGATAGAACTGTGTTATTAATTAGCATTATTACTATTATTTGACATCAGTGCAGTTTTTCTCACATTGCACTTGGGTGTTTCTTGTGAACTTTAAGAAGACAGAAGGGATTTCTTCTTTTTTTTCTTTTCGTCTGTTTCTTGCTCCAAAGGAAGAACCACTAAGATGATGAAATGCATTGGCTCATAGCCAGAATATAATAAACGTTATAGCTTTTTAAAAAAATAGAAAAAAGCATGAACCAAAAATACAACTACAGCTATAATTTGTAAGCCAAAATTGCATTGCATGTAGTATGTGTAAAATTTCATTTCAGCTGTGGTTATAGTTGGATTGCATGTTCTAAGTAGTTTTTTGGCCTTGTATATATATTACTGAACAACTTTAAACTTATTTCAACTTTATAAATAAAACTATACTTTAATAAAACTTCATTAATAAAAATATTTAACCATAATGAAAATATGGTAATTCTGTCTAAGCATTTCCATAATTAGCAGAGTGATTTTGGGGCTCCTGGACAGCATCTGAGAGGTCACAGGATGCAGGAGAGGTCTGACCTTGGATAAATCCCTTGTGGAATTCCCCTTCCCTACTTCTTGCACCCCACAGATGCCCTGGAAAGTACCATGGTAACTCCCTTTGCCAAGTCTGGGGCTCCAACCTGAGGAAGGAAAGAAGGGGCAGGCTTGGAGCAAGTCGGTGGGCAGGAAGGGGACAAGCCATTGGTCTGCTGGATCCGAGGGTCACAGCCCTGCCCCTGCCACTGGCAGAGGGAGGAGCTCATGAAAATTGTCCTTCAAGTGGGCAGAGAGACTAAAAAATCTCCCACTCTGCTGGCAGCAGCCCAACAATGCTTTGGTTGGATGGAGGACTCCAAGACAGGAGCCCACTGTTGTTTGGGCTAGACGCCCATGATAAAATTATTCTGCTTGCCTGCAGAGTCCGAAGCTTGTGCTTCCTTTTCATACGCTGGTCAGTTTTCCAGCAAAAAGAAGGATTTGTAGCAGCTCTGGGCATTATACAAACAATTAGAGAATCCAGAGTGATTCCGCACACAAATATAAAATACGTTGGAACAGTAACGCCTTCCTGGGATTTTGAGTATTTATTACACTTTTATACCACCCAATAGCCAAACACAGTCAACAACAACAAAGAGCAATAAGCCAATAAAATAGTAATGGACTAATTACAGTGGCCGCAGTGAAGCTGTCAAAAATACCCAGCAGCAGATAAAAATACAATACCATGTTAAAACCAAAGTAAAAACCTTCAATTATTAAAATACCTGGCAAATACCTCTTTGAGGAGCCCCTTCCATAAATGGGGTGCATATTGGCTTGTGGC